GTTCGCTGATTCCTGGAAAGATCACATGGATCAACTTTTAGATTTGTTCGATCGATTGGAGAAGGCCAACATGACGATCAACTTAGCAAAAAGCGAGTTCGGGAGAGCCTGCCTCGAGTACCTTGGGTATATAGTAGGGCAAGGTGAGGTTGCTCCGGTAAGAACAAAGGTGGAGGCCATTGACAACTTCCCGGTGCCCAGGAGTAAGAAAGAATTGTTGAGATACCTCGGTATGATTGGATATTACCGGAAGTTCTGCGGAAATTTCTCCACCATAGCCGCTCCTATGACGAGTTTGCTATCAAAGAGCAAAAAGTGGGAGTGGAATGGAATAGCACAAGAAGCGTTTGAAAAGATCAAAAGACTGTTGACCGAGGCACCTGTACTAGTGTCGCCAGATTTTGGAGCGCTGTTTACGTTATTTGTGGATGCCAGTGATATAGGGGCCGGAGCTGTACTGACACAGCAGAATGGTGGAATTTACCGCCCCGTGTCCTTCTTCTCGAAGAAGTTCGTTAAGCACCAGAGGTCGTACAGTACGGTCGAGAAAGAGACTTTGGCCCTGGTAATGGCATTGAAACATTTTGAAGTGTATGTGAGTGGGGGAGGACACCCAGTGACGGTGTATACAGACCATAATCCCCTAGTTTTCCTGAGAAAAATGAAGCATGCGAACCAGAGGTTAACCAGATGGTTTTTATTGCTCCAAGAGTATGACCTGGTGATAACGCACATAAGGGGGCGAGACAATGTAGTAGCTGATGCGTTATCTCGAGCCTAGCCACTAGAATAGTGGCTAGAATTTTAGTGATATAAGGAAGGTTGTGTGGACCAACATTTCTTCAAAAGATCTATATTTTGCCTTGCAAACCCTAATGCAGTATTGGTATACTCCAAATTGGTAATGAGCCATGAGATGCTTCTGAATTTGATCTTAACTTTAAATTGCTCAAGTATTTTCTATCTTGTATTAATCAGTGGTTGTAAATATCATGTGATGCATCTGTTGCTGAAAAAGGCACATTGATTAGAAATAGTCATAGAAATAGAAAAATATTCTCTTGAACTATAATTCCAATAAAAGTCATTACTTCATACATAAATGTTTGAGAACCAATCTGTATGTTACATGTTTTTTATTCTAAGTGTCAACTTTAATTACAGTAAAGATGTACATTTTATGGGCATTGATTAAATATTTAATTTTTTATTTTTGTTTGCCTAAAGATCAGGCCAGAAAATACTAGAAAACGATACTTAATTTTAAATGTTAAAAGAAAACAATTTAGGGTTTGAAGACTAAGTTTATTTATTGAGTTTACTAGGAAGCTAAAGATGATAATTTTGGTAACTTGGTTGTGATAGATATATGCTTAAGGAGCGTTGAGGATTGAGGATACGATCTTGTTATGAACTTGAGCAATACAACAAAATATAAATATAACTTTGCCAAAATTTGAAGACGTCCTGATGCCGGGGGAGCCGGTGGGCCGAGCGGACAGCACGCTGGACTTGTGATCCTGTGGTCCTGGGTTCGATCCCAGGCGCCGGCGAGAAACAATGGGCAGAGTTTCTTTCACCCTATGCCCCTGTTACCTAGCAGCAAAATAGGTACCTGGGTGTTAGTCAGCTGTCACAGGCTGCTTCCTGGGGGTGTAGGCCTGGTCGAGGACCAGGCTGCGGGGACACAAAAGCCCCGAAATCATCTCAAGATAATCTCAAGATAAAGATCAGGTAAGGGAACATAACACCAGCTCATGTTGGGTCAGGGAGGCTAGGTCATGTCAGGTCAGTTGACTACATGTTTGCCAGTACTACTGCCTCTGAGAGCTCCACCTACTGGGATCCAAGTCCTTTATGGGTACCTGCAAAGCATCCAAACACCACTCAGAAACCACCACCACCACCAGAAACAGAAGATTTTTGGACCTGTAAATTTGTAGACCTCATCCTGGAAACATTCTTGTATCAACATGTTAAACAAGCTACGAGGATGAGGGAAGGGGACGTTCCCTCCATGCTAGATTTGATATTTACCAGGAAGGAGGAAGAGATATTTGACATTCAGTACCTTCCTCCCTTGGGTAAAAGTGACCATGTCTTTTTGGGAATAAAGTATGCAATGCGTTATAAGCTGGAAGAAAATAAGGAGGTTGAAGCAGTTGAAAAACCAGACTTCAGGAGAGGACATTATGGTGACCTTAGAAATTTTTTTAGTGAGTATAATTGGACAGACTTGATGCTAGGCAAGGAAGTGAATGAGATGTATGGCAAGTTTTGTGAAATATATGATAAAGGCACAAAAAATTTATACCAAAACAGAGATGCAGAACTAGGAAACAGGATTGGTTCAATAGAAATTGCGAGAGGGCTAGAGACCGAAAGACACAAAAATGGAATCAATACAGGAAGAGGCCGAACCCCCAAACATACCAGCGATACAAAGATGCGAGAAACAACTACACGGCAGTGAGGAGAGAGGCAGAAAGAAATTTTGAAAAAGGGATTGCGGACAAATGTAAAACAGAACCAGGTCTATTCTATAAATTCATAAACAACAAATTGCAGGTAAAGGATAATATTCAGAGGTTGAAAATGGGAAATAGATTCACGGAAGATGAAAAGGAAATGTGTGAAACACTAAACGAAAAGTTCCAAAGTGTGTTTGTACAAAATGAAATCTTTAGGGAACCAGATACAATAAGAATTCCAGAGAACAACATAGAACACATAGAGGTGTCTAGAGACGAAGTGGAAAAAATGCTCAAAGAGCTCGCTAAGAACAAAGCAGCTGGCCCAGATGGCGTTTCACCATGGGTTCTGAGAGAATGTGCATCTGAGCTCAGCATTCCACTTCACCTGATCTTTCAGGCATCCCTGTGTACAGGAATCGTAGCAGACGGGTGGAAACAGGCTAACATAGTTCCAATCTACAAAAGTGGCAGCAGGGAAGACCCCCTCAATTATAGACCTGTATCATTGACAAGTGTAATAGTGAAAGTATTGGAAAAACTAATCAAAACTAAATGGGTAGAACACCTAGAGAGAAATGATATAATATCAGACAGACAGTATGGTTTTCGATCTGGAAGATCCTGTGTATCGAATTTACTAAGTTTCTATGATCGAGCCACAGAGATATTACAGGAAAGAGATGGTTGGGTTGACTGCATCTATCTGGACCTAAAAAAGGCTTTCGACAGAGTTCCACATAAGAGGTTGTTCTGGAAACTGGAAAATATTGGAGGGGTGACAGGTAAGCTTCTATCATGGATGAAAAATTTTCTGACTGATAGAAAAATGAGGGCAGTAATCAGAGGCAATGTATCAGAATGGAGAAATGTCACAAGTGGAGTACCACAGGGTTCAGTTCTTGCACCAGTGATGTTTATTGTGTACATAAATGATCTACCAGTTGGTATACAGAATTATATGAACATGTTTGCTGATGATGCTAAGATAATAGGAAGGATAAGAAATTTAGATGACTGTCATGCCCTTCAAGAAGACCTGGACAAAATAAGTATATGGAGCACCACTTGGCAAATGGAATTTAATGTTAATAAATGTCATGTTATGGAATGTGGAATAGGAGAACATAGACCCCACACAACCTATATATTATGTGAGAAATCTTTAAAGAATTCTGATGAAGAAAGAGATCTAGGAGTGGTTCTAGATAGAAAACTATCACCTGAGGACCACATAAAGAATATTGTGCAAGGAGCCTATGCTATGCTTTCTAACTTCAGAATTGCATTTAAATACATGGATGGCGATATACTAAAGAAATTGTTCATTACTTTTGTTAGGCCAAAGCTAGAATATGCAGCTGTTGTGTGGTGCCCATATCTTAAGAAGCACATCAACAAACTGGAAAAGGTGCAAAGACATGCTACTAAGTGGCTCCCAGAACTGAAGGGCAAGAGCTACGAGGAGAGGTTAGAAGCATTAAATATGCCAAAACTAGAAGACAGAAGAAAAAGAGGTGATATGATCACTACATACAAAATAGTAACAGGAATTGATAAAATCGACAGGGAAGACTTCCTGAGACCTGGAATTTCAAGAACAAGAGGTCATAGATTTAAACTAGCTAAACACAGATGCCGAAGAAATATAAGAAAATTCACCTTCGCAAATAGAGTGGTAGACGGTTGGAACAAGTTAAGTGAGAAGGTGGTGGAGGCCAAGACCGTCAGTAGTTTCAAAGCGTTATATGACAGAGAGTGCTGGGAAGACGGGACACCACGAGCGTAGCTCTCATCCTGTAACTACACTTAGGTAATTACCAGGAACACAGCTTATTAGTACTGTACACCACAATCAAGGACAAAGAAGAAACATCTTCTTGAGCGGTTATCTTGAGATGATTTCGGGGCTTTTTAGTGTCCCCACGGCCCAGTCCTCGACCAGGCCTCCACCCCCAGGAAGCAGCCAATGACAGCTGATTAACACCCAGGTACCTATTTTACTGCTAGGTAACAGGAGCATCGGGTGAAAGAAACTCTGCCCATTGCTTCTCGCTGGCGCCCGGGATCGAACCCAAGACCACAGGATCACAAGTCCAGCGTGCTGTCCGCTCGGCTCACCGGCTCCCCCGGCATCAGGACTTCTTCAAATTTTGGTAAAGTTATATTTATATTTTGTTGTAGTATTGCTCAAGGTCATAACAAGGTCATAACCTCAATCCTCCTCAACGCTCCTTAACTCCTCCTTAAGCTCCTTAATCTACCACAACCAAGTTACCAAAATTATCATCTTTAGCTTCCTACTAAGATCAATAAATGACAGACTTGTCTTCAGAGCCTAAATTGTTTTCTTTTAACATTTAAAATTAAGTATCGTTTTCTAGTATTTTCTGGCCTGATCTTTAGGCAAACAAAAATAAAAAATTAAATATTTAATCAATGCCTATAAAATGTACATCTTTACTGTAATTAAAGTTGACACTTAGAATAAAAACATGTAACATACAGATTGGTTCTCAAACATTTATGTATGAAGTAATGACTTTTATTGGAATTATAGTTCAAGAGAATATTTTCTATTTCTATGACTATTTCTAATCAATGTGCCTCTTTCAGCAACAGATGCATCACATGATGATATTTACAACCACTGATTAATACAAGATAGAAAATACTTGAGCAATTTAAAGTTAAGATCAAATTCAGAAGCATCTCATGGGTCATTACCAATTTGGAGTATACCAATACTGCATTAAGGTTTGCAAGGCAAAATATAGATCTTTTGAAGAAATGTTGGTCCACACAACCTTCCTTATATCACTAAAAATCAAAATTGTAATAATTTACTGTCTAATAGTATTTGAAAAAATGAAAATGAATTAGTCATTTCACAAACACTATACCAGCATTTCTACTACCAGTTAGAATGTGTGTTCCTAACTGCTGTTTCATATATGCTTTTGATAACATGAGGCAAATGGAAATAAAAAGCAAGTCAGTTTACAAAAACATTGTTTCATTTTGTACAACAACTGCTATACAAAAACTAATGCATGTGGTTTGTCCATGTTTCATCACAAAAAGCATTGAGCAAAACTTGAGCAGTTTCCTTCGCCTGATGCATCAATATTTTTTTTTCGCTCCACAAACTAACAACACAAGAATAACATTAATAATAAATAATGAATATTTATATAAACAGAAATGGTTATTTCATGTTATGCAGGGTAAATATGACTTCTGGTGTTACCATGAGAGTACCTGAGGCGTATGAACCAAAGTTAGCTTCCAAAAGTCACTGGGACATACGGAAACTAGGGGAGAAACTCCATTACACATACAATGGAGTTCCAACAAATCTTCTCACAGAGAAGATGATTTTCAAAATTAAAAAACCCTCACAACATAACACATACATGCTGATGATACAAGCTCTGCGTAGTATGATTATGATTATGATGCATAAGTAGTAAGTACAATACAAAAAGAGCCATACCCAAACTAAGCAGACACCAACAGAATATACTACACGTGTGTTGTGAGGCCATATCCAACCACCTGCACCCACCACCAGCACAGCCCCACGCTCCTGACCCTCCCGAGCTGGTCCTCACCACTCCCCCTCTCACCGACTGGCTCACAAAACTATTGACACATTTCATGTACCAAAATTATATCTAATAACCTTCCTTTATATCACACAACCTTTATATATAACCTTTATATCACACAACCTTCCTTATATCACTAAAAATCAAAATTGTAATAATTTACTGTCTAATAGTATTTGAAAAAATGAAAATGAATTAGTCATTTCACAAACACTATACCAGCATTTCTACTACCAGTTAGAATGTGTGTTCCTAACTGCTGTTTCATATATGCTTTTGATAACATGAGGCAAATGGAAATAAAAAGCAAGTCAGTTTACAAAACTAATGCATGTGGTTTGTCCATGTTTCATCACAAAAAGCATTGAGCAAAACTTGAACAGTTTCCTTCGCCTGATGCATCAATATTTTTTTTCGCTCCACAAACTAACAACACAAGAATAACATTAATAATAAATAATGAATATATATTTAAACAGAAATGGTTATTTCATATTATGTAGGGTAAATATGACTGCTGGTGTTACCATGAGAGTACCTGAGGCGTATGAACCAAAGTTAGCTTCCAAAAGTCACTGGGACATACGGAAACTAGGGGGAGAAACTCCATTACACATACAATGTAGTTCCAACAAATCTTCTCACAGAGAAGATGATTTTCAAAATTAAAAACCCTCACAACATAACACATACATGCTGATGATACAAGCTCTGCGTAGTATGATTATGATTATGATGCATAAGTAGTAAGTACAATACAAAAAAAAAAAAAGAGCGGCTCAAGATTAAACATTTCTAAGTATAGATGACTTTCTGGTTCTAAAAAGTCATGTTGTGGGGAAAGAAAAATGAATCTATATAAAGTGAAAATGTTGAGGTTAAAGATGTCACAACCACAGCCGCAGTAGCAGTATTGGACCGTGGTAGTGACTCATCACAGCCGATGACCAGAAGACCTGTGCAGCGCCTCGTCCTCCAGTGTTGAGGAAGATCCCGAACAGCCACAGAGGAAGGTTGGTTTCTGCAGCAGCAGAAATAAATTGTATCAAATAAATTGTAATCCTTACACACTACAATGCAGTCTTGAAATCAGGAATGCCCTTTCCCATTGCTAAAGGAGGATAAAGTTCTAATTCATGACCCCTAAGTTACATAGTTTCTTGATATAAATCCCATACATCAATGAAAAATAAATTCAGGGACAAAAAGTAATGACATATTTAACCTTATTCCAAGCAATTTTATATTTATAGAGCATATGATGTAGAGTGCAGTATAGAACCACTTTAATGTTGGCTGTGTAAAACCATTATATTTATAATTACAGAAACTTGCTGCATCATGAGAAACTAAAAAATCATGACTGCCTAATTCAAAGATAAAGTGGTTTCACCTGAATAATCATTTTTAATAATTAAAATCTGTTTCTATCACCACTGGTTGGAACAAGTTAGGCAAAGTGTTGGAGGCCAAAACCATTAGTAGTTTCAATGCACTAAATGACAGTACTTGGAAGACGAGACACCACGAGTGTAGCTCTCATCCTGTAACTAGGTCTCATCCTAATTATTAAGTAATTACTGTACTGCATAAAAATGTAATATCCTCGATATCAAAGTAATTTCCTTAGCTCACAGCTGACACGCATTCACACACATAAGGTAACACCTCCCTCTCTCAATACCTCTCGACATTTCTGTCGTCTCCTCCTCAGAGTATGTAAATGTATCGGAGATCTTGTGACCCTGCAATATCAAGGGTCATTAGCCAAGGAAATAGTGCACACACTGTAAAGCAGGTGAAGGCAGGATAGGAACTGATGAGAAAAAAATTAATCTGCATTATGAACTCCTACTCTTCTCCCCTGTGAAGAAAGAATACACTAATATTAAGGGCGGAGTTTTGGCTATATTATAAAAGCCGATTTCTCTGGACATGGAACATAGTAAGAAGAACTGCAACGAGTTCTTCTCTAAGGAGCTGCGAGAAGCAGTGTCGGGAATGGCATCAAGGACCAGGCGGTCATTCACCTGGTGGTGTCTTGCTCCGAGATAGACCTGGGCAACATCAAGCAGTCAGACATGTCTCTCGAACAAGACTTTCAGGGTGATGTTTCTGGCGACTACAAGGCAGCCCATCGTTAAGGAGTAGAGTGGTGGAAGAACACTTCCATATATTTCCAAAGATAAAGAGACAAAATTACTCAAAATGGTCAGAAGCCCTGTATATCAACCATGAGTCTTACAGAATAATTTGGGATACAGAAATGTGGTGTTTTCTTTTTACAAATTACAATGCCCACCAGAGACAACCACACTGTTTATAGATGATCACACAAACCCAGTCATTAAATTACATTCACTCTTGCATGTATTTTAAATCGGTAATGCTATAACAATACCAACTGCATATATTATATGAAGACAAAATACAATGTGAGAATCATCACCCTTTGCTGGTACTTTTACAAATGTATACATATACTATATAGATAATACATGTGAGTGTGTCCCTCTAAGAAGTGATGTCTATATATAAAGGCATAACCAAAGCAATAATAAGAGACTAAGTCTACAGTGTAGATAAGAAAGCATATATACACATGCAGAAAACACCAGTTACTACAATACACTAGGAGACTAAGATGGCTTATTGAACAACTTCACATTACAATACTGTACATATATATATATATAAAAATATAAACAATTTCAATAATATAATCACACACAAGATGGAATGTGATTTTAGGAAACAATGACAATGAAGTAGTGTAATATGAATATCTGAGTATTTAAGAAAAATACAAAATACATATAGA